CAGCGAGGCGTCTCCTCCGCGGGCATGCAAACACACAGCGCGGGCGCTCGCGAAAGCACGGACGGCAACACGGGCTCTTCCAGCCCGGCGGGCAGCGCTCTCCCCGGGGAAACGGTGGCACGGGGCAGTTGAAGTGACGCAGCCGAGGTCATGCAGCACGTCGGTGGCAGAGGGGTCCCGGCACCTCCATTTCTCCGTGTTACGCTCAACCCGGGCGCTGCGGCTTTGAGACGGAGCCGAGCTTGATGCCTCCAGCCGAGCCGACGGAGACGCCTCCTTATTCCCCCTCAGCATCTCTCTCTGGCCTTGTTCCCAGCAGGATTCGGCCCCAAAATCCCACCTCCGGAGGGTGGCCAGCTCCTTCTCCCAACCCCGGCTCACCCCAGAGACAGACGCAGAGCTCGCCGACACACCGCCAAGGCCACCCCGCGGGGACGGCCACCAGCCGAGCGACAGAGACGGGGACCAAGGCAGACACGTGCTGTGCCCACGGCGCCCGCGTGTGCCCACGGACGGGCACGCACGGCTGTCAAGCTGCTCCATGCAGGCGAGCCCAAGCTCCTCCAGCCCGGCATGGGTTTGCCGGGCAAAGGCAAAGCCTCAGCATCTTACCTGGGGAGGATTCGGCTTTCTTGGGTTCCGGGCAGGTCCTGCGGTAGACCTGACTACAGTCTTTCTCGAAGGTCTCCTGGTTCTGCAGTAGTTGGTTGATGTCCTGGAAGAAGTGCTTGACCAGCACCAGCATCTCGTAGGGGGAGGTGGTGAATTCCTCGAAGCACATCTGCGAGAGCTGGAGGAAAAGCCAGGCTCAGCGTCGGCTTCGGGACCACACCGGGCACCCGATGTCACCTCCACCGGGTACCACGCAGCACCCAGGGCAGGGTTGGGACGCCGTACCTTCCTCTCCTCATCATCCTCCTCCCTGATGCAGGGGTCGACGTTCTCATCGATGCGGCTGTACATCCTGCGCACCATCTGCATCTTCTTGGCGTTGGACGAGTTCTCCTTGAACTCCGTCCGCTCCAGGATCTTGCCCAGCAGAGGGAAGGCGGCTTTCACGTAGCAGACGGGATCATTCTGCATCGACGTGGACCCCCCCCCCCCAAAAAAAAAACAAAAAAACAAAAAAACCGAGCCTGGTTACTGGCTGAGCAGAGGTAACACTGCCCGTCCCACTCTGCCGGGGGGAAACTGAGGCACAGAGCCGCACAAAATGACTTTCTATGGTGCCACAGGATGCCCAAGCTGGGACTCAGCCACCCAGCCGGGCAGGATGGGTCCCTCCTGGGCTGTCTCCCGCTAAATGGGGACAAGAGAGGGGAGACTGAGGACCCCGTGCACCAGCCAGCCCTGGTCCCCGTCCCCCCAGTGCCCAGCAAGGAGCCACTCACCAGCTTCGTCTTGTTGATGAACTTGAAGGAGACCCTGCCCGGGTGCTGCATCTGGGTGTCAGCCTGGAAGGAGAGCACGGGATGTCACCCCCGGGGTCACCCCGGGTGGCGGGGGGGGGGGGGTG